TAGCTGACCTTGCCTGATCCCAGGATCATATGAGTATGGAAGTCCACCAGATAATTCCAGAATTTTTACATTAAACAATTAATTACACTATTCAAAAAACTTTGCCTACAATGAATTTTTAAACAATAGTGTTTGTAGTCATGATTTCAATATTCATGTGCAAAACAAATTCTACTCAAGATATCAGCTAAGATGTTTTTAAAGGAACTTCAAAATAGCAAGGAGACTTTTTTTTAAAAAAATGCCACAATACAATCCAAACATGCAAAAATGAAAATAGTGCATTGAGAATTTTTTCAGCTATCAGCTTATATTTCAGACCACCTTCTTATTTTCAGGATATCTTAGCAATTACCATTCTTAATTCTGTGTCAAAATAATTTAATAAATATCGGGCTGTAGAAGTGAAGTAATCTCAACTAGTCATTTGCCATAACAGTTTCTAAGTAATTTGTGCGTTTTCTATAGTCTACATTTTTTCTCTACTGGATGTTCTGTGAATTCTCATTTCCTGAGTTTTGGAGAGGGATTAAAGGCAACCTTGTGCATTATGCTTCAAAGCGACAGAACAAATCTGTTTGGTCCTCAAACACATTAGTGAAAATAAATGAGTTTGGGAATGAATTTTGGGAAAAGTGGAAATTGGAAAAAGTGGAAATGTTAAGGACTTTAAAAAGATAAGTAAGCCCTTAAGGCAGTGACGGCTTTTCTAGACTGAGTGCCCAAAGCGCATTCAAATGTGCGTGAATGCACACACACATGCTTGAATCCCCAAAATGCTATGTGTGGGCGGACCCTGTACATGTGCGCCACCCCCACGTGCTTGTACTGGCCCGCATGCACCCTGTCCTACATGCATGTGCATGTGGGCCCCCGCATGTGCCCCCGCATGCAGCCCATCCCATGCATGCATGCGCACCCCCGCATTCACCCTTTCCCCCATGTGCCCAGTCCCCTGCATGCACCCCCACACCGTGCATGCACACACGTCCCCCCGCACGTGCTCCCCCACATGTGTGGCAGAGACCTAAAGACCAGCAGGATGCACGCATGTATGCATGGCAGATCTTAACTGGTGTGACGGCTCATGTGCCCACAGAGAGGGTGTTGCGTGCCACCTCTGGCACATGTGCCATAGGTTCACCATCACAGCCTTAAGGAAAGAAAAGGTGTGATAAATGGGATCTTGTTGACTGAACATGTATTTGTAAAGTTCCTACCTCTCAACACGGACTTCAAATTCAATTTGGCTTGACGATGCAGCTCTTCTACGCAGGGTGGCCTGGTGGAAGGTAAAAAGACATTCTCCTGCTGATGCCAGGGAGCTGTATAATGAACTGTCCATCTACTCTCTTCATCTAGGTTGGAGACAGCTGTAAAAGAGCGGAAAGACGAAGATACATTCAATGATGTGTTAAACACTAAAAGTTAAAAGAATCAAATCACTTGATAAACTCTGGAGAAACGACAGGAGTAATAACAACCATTTTGATTGCTCACTCTATTTTATACGTAGAAAACCAGAGTAAAGCATGTGTGTGATATTTTTAAAAATATTTGATTTTTTATTTCCTTCTGTGTTTATGTGATTCCAATTGAAGGCAATTCCAGATACAGTTGTTGTTTTTAAAATGAATGCAATACAACAACATACAACAAAACACGACATCAGCACCATCAGGAGCAAGCAATAACACACTTCAAATGAAACAAAGACTGAAATAATTTCCCAAAGACCCTTTGGAAGACCCAGGACTCAACACAGTACAAGCTAAGGCCCAGTCTAACCTCAGGGGATATGCATTAGTGTGGTACAACTCTAATGGAGTAGGGTTGTGATTTGAAAGGATATGTAGCAAAATGTATTAGTGCAAGCAAAGTATTGAGGTGACCAGCATCTCTGGAAGTCTTAGCATTTTGCAATCCCTCGCCGATTGTCTCTGCATATTTGTGCATGCATAGTCATTTGCTTCCCTGGGCAAGGAAGATATAACTCAGGACAGATTTTTTTTTAAAAAAAAACATGGAATAGCTTGCTAAAATATTAGAGGAGAGTGTTTAGAATTGTTCTGCCTGACCAAAGAATTCCACAAACAGAAAGAAGGCTCTGACCCAGACCCTCATTTACATAAACTTCCCATTTACATAAATTCATGAAAGGAGTAGACAAGTCAACCTCAGAGGACAAAAGCATAAAAACAAAAGGAATCTCTTGGGGCACAAGCCATTTAGATAGCACTTTATGATTAAAAAACAGTCCAGAATAGTATAAAAAAAATATCCATTTATTTATTTATTTCCACCTTTCGTCACTAAAAAGAATGAAAATACTTGCACAAACAACTTCGAAACAGTGTATATAACAAAATGGGACAGCCTTCTATTGGATTCCACCTTATCTGACTTTTACAAGTTGCTTAAAACTTCCAGAGGGCATTCTATCTTTGGTTATAATTTAGCTGTTAATTTCATTTTATTCTAGGCTTTTACGGGTTTGTAGAATGTTTATTTGTGTACTTTTATATGCACTTTTGTAAGTGTTTATATTGTAAACTGCAAGCTCCCTAAGTATTGTTTATAAATGTAATTAAATAATTACAAAATGATTTAAAAGAATAATATATTCCAAGGGCTGATGAATGTAATTTTAAAACAGGCAGGAAAAAAATTTTTTAGCCCGCCTTAAAAGGTTTGTAAAGAACAGCTTGTTTGAGGGCTAAATGAAACTTCCATGAGTCTTTCCCAAGGTGAAGTCTTCTTTGAGTTGAAAGTTTGCCTGCCTCACCTCAACAATCTCCTAAAAGTGTGAGACGTGTAGTGGTGTTTCCAACATTGAGCACAGCAAGCAGACAGAGAATTAAATAGATAATTAAATCCTCCAGTTAATCTGTTCCCACAATGCTCAAGTGTGCTGGAAACAACATTTGCACTTCCTTCTAGAAAATGCTAGTGGGGCAGTTCTAAATGAAAGGCTGCTGGATCCTTATCAATTTCTTCTGGCAGGACCTGAGACAGAAATACTTCAATGATTAATTTTCCCAATGTGGAATTGGAGGGGTGTGAAGGTAGACATTTTTCTAGTTAGAACAGGCAGATGAAGAAATGGGGACAGAAACTTCAGGAGAATGGATTGAGAGGCAAAGCAACTTCCATCCTTTTCAACATCTTAATACTCAGTAGTTAATTTATCTCTTCCTCTCCCCAAAAAAGTTCTGTACATCCCATAGTTACTAGAACTCAGCCTAAATGACTTCCAAGTAGAGCCAGGAAAACAAAGCACAAATGATATTTCCATCTAAGCTTGCCAAAGAAACAGAACATTGCCAATGGAGATGGATTACATAAAGCGCTTATAGAAAGGAATAGTATGATCAAATAAGATCAAATTAAAAACTACAGATGACCCTCAATTTACAACCATTTGTTTACAGTATAACAGTACTTTAAAAAGAGGCTTATGATCATTCATTGTACGTATGACTGTCACAGATTCCCAAAAGTGATAAAAATATGGATGCTTGAATTTATGACAGCTGTAACAACCTGGGGCCATAATCACTATTTGCAATCTTCCAACAAGCAAAGTCAATGGAGGAAACGTGGTTCACTTAATGACTGCATGATTCACTTAACAACTGCAGTGATTTGGTTAACAACCCTTCCAAAAAGGTCGTAAAATTAGGCACAACTCACTCAATGAACTGACTTGCTTAGCAATGGAAATTCTGGTCACAAATGTCGCCAGAAGTCAAGGACTACTTGCAAAAGGATACTGCTTATGTAATGATTTATAAATATCACATTTTCTTTGTAAATATAATGAATAGAAGGAATTCTGCCTTCATATGGTCTTCACATTAGAGGAGTTCTGGAATTCCTTGTCTCCTTGGATGACACTATAGTGTTTTGCACAAGTGCTTTCTTTATTTCATGGTTTGCTAAAATAGAGGAGCCCAACCCCAGGCCTGTACCAGTGATGGGATTAAAAATTTTTTACTACAGTTCTGTGGGTGTGACGGTGGGCATGGCTTGATGGTGGGTGTGACGGTGGGCAGGGGAAGGATACTGCAAAATCCCCATTCCCTCCCCACCCCCACTAACCTGCTTTCAGCTCCGTTCTCCTGTTCAGGGCAATGAAAGAAGATCAGCTGAGAGGCAGCAGGGGTGGGGCCAGCCCATTTGCCGGTTCTCTGAACTACTTAAAATTTCTGCTACCAGTTTTCCAGAACCTGTCAGAACTGGCTGAATACCACCTCTGGCATGCCTACTAAAAAAAATGTAGGCATGCCCTTCAGAAAGATCCAAAAGTTGATATAAATTGTAATTTTGTGAAGGAGTTATTAGATGGTGTGTGGGTGTATGCATGTGCGCGTGCACTCAAATAAGTGAATTAAATTTTATGAAGTATTAAAAATAATCAATCCCCTTAATTAAATTAAATCAGAAAAGTGTTGAGATTTGGATGGTATTGTCTATGCAGATTCTCAGTCATCCAGGTCCTAGTTGTCCCAAAGGTGACATCTTTAAAGACATTTTCCAGGGCGCTGCTCAGGAGAGTCCAAGCAAGGGTTAAATACAGCCAAACTGGCCAGAGCTGAATTGAAACATTAAGGCACGCCTCTGGTGCTGATTTAATTTAATTAAGNCCCTCCCCATGACTGAACTGATCCTTTTATCTGCCCCACTACTCCTTCCACCCACATCAGACTGGAGAATTGACAGGAGGAGGCTCCTTCTCCTATCTCTGGGAAATGCCTAGAGAACGGACACAGTAAAAGCTCACTTCCCCCCATCCTCTTCTCCCACCCTGCGTCTTTTACCACTTATGGGTTGGGAAGAAAAGTGGGAAAGGTTTTTGGCAATGGAAAGCTTGAGTCTTCCACTGCTAATAGACAAGTGGCCTTGAAAACCAGCAGCTGGGGATTTGTGGGGAGAATGTACAAACAATGGTTTTAAATAGTCAACAGAAGCAGAGCAGGACAGGCCCCTACCTTTATGCTTACCCCAGAAATAATGGTTACTTGTGTGCCCCAGCTTGTGTTGCAGAGATAGGAAAAAGACCCTTTTGCAATGGAGCATGGGACTATAGGTAAAGGTTGTCTTGGTGACAGTGGAGGAGAACATGGGAAGGAAAAACAAATCTCTCAAAAATAAATATCTCCCATGTACAGAGCAAAAATAACTATCTTTATCTAGGTCTATATCTTCATGTTCTATGATACAATTAAATTTTAACCAATTTATCAGATCAATTAACACAATGAAACAAACAGGAAAACAGAACTACATGTACCTACAAACCATGGAAAAACCACCAAAAATATCCAGTTCTACCTGTAATCTATAGTTCTTCTTAAGTAGGATTTTTTTTGTATGAATTTGGCTACCACTAAATTAATGACTGTTTAAACGGTTGCTGCTTCTCTCTTTCCTTCTGACACTGCATTTTCCAATTTTTTTTCTTAGTAGCTGTTTTTCCTCGTTCAGTTCTTTTCACTGCTGGTCTTCCCACCACCTCACCTGTTGTTATGATAGCATCTGTCAGAACATCTCTGCAGGTGTGTAGATCTGAAGACAGAAACCACTGAATGAACTGAGATTCTAATCTAGTCTAGCTATTGTAGAAGTTTTAATATAAATTCTTGCACAGACGAAGTTTTTTCTGGCTTCCGTTCCAGTTCTAATCTGAACTATAAGAACTATTCAAATGTTTTGATTTATTACTTTATTTTATTAATAAATCTGCTTAATCATGAGTGATTCAAGGCACTGTATGAAGAGGATTGAAAGCATAATAAAATTAGAGTATTCCATGAGCATAAAACCCTACTATAGTAAATAAACTCCATTTAGGATTGATGGGTTCTATTTGTTTGGATAAAACACAAATTGCATTATTTTCTCCAACATGGCAATTTCTATCCAGCTAACCAGCTTGGCCAACTGTTTATGCTTATTGATTTATTTCCATATAAATCATGTTAACTTTCTTCCCATAAAAATCATGTTCACTGAAAACTTCCAGGTTACCATCTTTTCATAAAACAGTGATAGGTGAGGATGATCAACTCTTTCAAAATGAAACAGCAGAAAAAATATCAATGAAACATCTCAAACCAGCAACTCCTGTTAAACGTCGTGAACGGCTGCACCCCAGGACTGGGAAACATACATATGTGACTCAGAATGCCTTTGAACAAGAGCTTTATTTTGGTAAGAATCAGGGAATGACTAAAGAGCTTTAACTTTATGGAATGAAAGTCTGCTTCCAAAATTGGTTCCACTATAAGCTTGCAGAAAATTCTATTCTGTCAAATCAAATCTTGTGTACCGAAAGACATGACAAATATTACTAGAAGAATAGATGTTAAAACAATGATATTTTTATTTTGAGAATTGTGTAACAGTCTGTCCTATCTGGAACTTTTTAATATTGCAGGTAGCAGTGGTGAAAGAAGACTGAGGAGCCCTGGTGGTGCAGTGGTTAGAATACAGTACTGCAGGCTAACTCTGCCCACAGCCAGGAGTTCAATCCTAGCAGGGCTCAATGTTGATTTAGCCTTCTATCTTTCTGAGGTCGGTAAAATGAGGAGCAGATTTTTGGGAGCAAGATGCTAACATTTAAAACCATACAGAGAGTGCTGTAAAGCACCATGGAGTGGTATATAAATCTAAGCGCTATTGCTATTTTCCTAACCCATATTTGTGAGTTTCTCCAATGCATCTGGTTGGCCATTGAATGATATAAAATGCTAGACCAGATTAACCTTTGGCCTCATTCATTTGTCAGATTGCCAGATTCTCATTTCCCTCAAAGGACTCCAGAAATGTTATAGACTTAGAGATGTTCAACCAATAAAATTAGTGCCTAAGCTTTGATTTGCAGAAAGGATCTTGTCCAAACACTACAAGCTACTGTACCATGCTTATGGGACACAAAAAAGCGTTCAGCATATAGAAATAATGTTGCTAAGTTCCAATGGTTTTCTTCCTCTGTATACTTTTAGGGTCTGCCAAGATTATCCATCAAAAAACCAAGAAGGATCGTATCATTCTGAATAATCATGATGAATATAACAAACATCTAGAACAATGCTACCCAAGACCTCCAGAAATCTGGAGCTTCAAATCACCAAAAGGGACAAGTAAGAGTGGAGCACTATGCTGATTTCCCCCCATATTTTATTCACCATTCTCATTTGAGGGAGAAAAATTGCTTTCAAAATTATCTTAATATATAATAATTTGATGGAAATTATTATCACTTTAAAAAAATGAAATTAAGAGGATAGATTTTCATACTTTCACATTTTTTGTGAGGAGGACTACTCTTGTTTCTAATATGATTTCTCATAGAAATCAGGAAAGTGAAGAAATACCTACTTCACTGTAAATCCTACATGAAAAAGATCCCTTAACTGGAACTATGTGGGTTTGTAATGTTTTTAATCACTTGTGTCCTTAAATTTAAAACATTTTTACTTAAATTTGGTTTTTTAGGATTGTTGCATCAGTCTAAGTTCTATTATTTCTCTTTCATACAATTTCCTAATCATATTCTAACATAACTTCTTGAAATAATAAGTAATATTCGGTTAATGACCTGGATTCAAAGTTCTGATGTCTATGCTCCCATGGGGCATTTGAGATTTAAAACATCTCAGTTGAATCATCAGGAGACAATGAACAATAAAAAAAACTTTAATGAACTTTTGCAAAAGGGCTTCCCTCCTGTGCTCATGTTGAGCCACAGAGGAGAAAAAAGAATACCTATGAATATCAAATTTAAATACAATTCCAAAGAAGACAATTCTCCTGCCACGCCCCTTATTTTCATTGGTCACTGGTAATTGGTCACATTATATAAGTTTTATAGAATGGTTTATATAGCAGTTGTTTTCCTGGACATTTGCACCATCTTTATCATAACAATACTCAATTTTAGCATGACAGCTGCTTCCCTGCCAATGTTAGCCTGACCTGACCTGGAATGTTAATCAATGTATAGCTTTGTTATTACCATAAACTCCCTTAGGTTAAACCATCTTGTCTTAGGTTAAACCATCTAATATCTCATACAGAGTTCAAAAATATGGCTGTCCCCTTGCTTAGTTTTGCTTGCTTAGTTTTATAGGAATAATTCTCATTTCTCTCAGGGCACTTGGTAATTGGTCTGCATTTATGGTTGTTTACAGCACCCCATGGTCAAATAGCTACAAACTATGAGGTTTTTTCTCCCCAAAAACAAATGGGCAAACAAATAGTCCTGAATAATAGGTTCCTGTAACTGTATAAGTGTCAGGGTTCTAAGTAACACCCCCCAACGAACACTCTGTGGTTGAGTTTCCTCAAAGTTCCATTTTTTTAGAGATGTCATATTGGCACATCTGGGAAAACCCAAATCTGAAGCTTCCAGGTTTTCCCACAAGTCTATCACATGGTCCAATCAGTCATTGCCATGAAGGAAGATTCCTCCACATCTGTTCAGGTGCAGGGGCAAGGAGACCTTGACTTTCTGAGAAGGAATGTTGTTATGGCTACATATCACCTATACTCTGTATAATCCCCCGTCTCATTTTCCCACAGTAGAAAATGGGTCAGGCCTGAAATCCAAAAGGTAAAAGATGGCTTCCAGGTCTGACAATAAGGTCTCCTGCTCAAGCAGTGATTGGACTAGAAGACTACCAAGGTCTCTTCCAATCCTGTTTTTCTATATTCTAATGACTGTGGCATTCACTTAACAACTATGGTGTTTTCTTAATGACTGGCACAAAGGAGTCCTAAAACAGAAGCCCATCTAATCTTCTATTAAATCAGGTGTAATCCTGGGATGACCCTCTTTACAACTGTCATGACTTACGACTGAAAGCATGGGCTCAGATACAGTCGTAAGTCTATCTATATCCAGGGAAAGATGTAGGTATAGCTGTTCTCCTTTAATCAAAGAAAATATCCTGATACAGATTAACTGTTCCCCATAGGAGAAAGCGGGATCAAAAAAGCCAAGATGGCGCAACTATTCCATTGAAGCCCTACCCCTTTTTTTACTGGTGCCATGTGGTCTTACAGACAGGGTGGGGCTCTGATCACAGGATTTCCTCTAGGTGCAATGCTGCTTGCCTCACGTTCTGGATCATGCTAATGGATAAAAATCTTCAGCCCACAAATTGCGACGTAGCCTGCCCTGTCACCAACAGGGATTTGTTTTGCATGTGGAAAAGCTAGTTTCTCACAAAAACTGAATGGTTTTTTTTTTGCCCATTCCATAAGTCAGGATGGGAAAGAAGAAAAACTGCTATTTCATTATGTAAATAATTGAATTAATAATAAATTAAATAATAATTTAATTATGTAAACTCTCTCCTGGATTTTCAAAATGATTTTTCTGTGTTACTCCATCTGTTTGCCTGATTTGATGTATTAGTTTTATTATTTATTATTATGTAATTCAGTTTCATCATTTGAACACTGACACATTTTTAAAGTAACTCTCCATTTTTCCTTCTCTCTTTAATGAGTCTGCTCCAGCATTCAAAGCTAAAACAGATTGCTTTGTGTTCCATATGACTTGACTACCTATATTCACAGCATTCCAATGTGTAAATAACATTTCTATCCAGATATTACCTATTTGTTCTGAATAATACAAAAGCCATTGTTATAATTTAAAATTTTGCCGTAATCATTCACTATATAAAGCAAGCCAGGGATAGTTAAATTTGCTATTTAGACATTAACCTTTGTTTTTGTTCATCACTTTTGCAAATAAGAACTAATATGAATGAATTACTAACTAGCTTTCATTAAAATTCTTCTGGATCAGGTAAAAAAGTACAGAAGGGGATGATCCACTGGAAATCACTTCCCACTCTCATTGAAGATTTTTCCCAAGTGGAAGAAATACAGTCACCTGACCCAACTGGAAAAGAAAAAGATCTGTGCACTAAACAGAAAGAAAGCGTATCTGAAAATGTTCGTATCCGTAAGACAATGTTGGAACAATGGAAAGCTGCCTGGAAATTTGGTAAATACATACTCTTCTTCTAGTTCTGGCTTTAATTTGTTATAGCCCATTTAAGTTAAAGGCTATTTTTCTGTTTTGACTGCTACCATTAATAATTGTCAAATCCTCTCTCACCTGTTATGGGCAGGTCACTTGAAATAATAATAATAATAATAATAATAATAATAATAATAATAATAATAATAATAATAATAATAATAATAAT